TTATACAGATATGTTATATCTTATACAATTGGTCTTTGTGCTGATGTGATTCAGTTGAAATTTACTCAGCTGAAACTTACTGAATTTATATTCGCCTAAAAGCAGGAAAGGGGAAAATGCGGCATTTTCTAACCTGTACAAAGTATTCCACTCTTTTACACTTGAGAACCATGTAATCTATTATATCTGTTAAGACTGCATTTTAATTTTAATAAGATGAAAATATAAATATTTAAAAATCCCCAACTATTTTTAAAATAACTATAATTAAATGTAGTCCTGCCACTAAGGACAAAGTAACAGTTGCTCTACTATAAATATTAATGCTAAATTTACAGAGAATAAAATACATTTAAGCAACCTTATAAAATTTTGAATAAAGCTACACTTATAATAACCACTTTGGTAAAGCTATGGCTATTGGTAACTGACACACATAGATAAAGTCTCTAACCCACTACAAAGCCTATAACACATTACAAACGTTTGGAACTGTTTATGGGTCCTCCTTGATTTGAAACCTGTGGTCCCTCCGCCTCCTCCTCTGCAATTTTTTGAAGCTTGACAGACTTTCACTCGGGACGTGAAGAGGTTGAGACAGATCTCACTGGTTTTCCAGCTTCTGCTTTACGAGACAAGATTTAATCACCATATAGCTCTGTATGGATTTGTTTAGCACAACATTCTATTATCGTCATGGCAATAAAGTGGTGGGCTTTTTATATGGTTTTCCATTGGGTGATGATTATTATTTTTCTCATTTTATTTGTGCTTAGAGTATATGCTTTTGAAAATGAAACATAGTTACTTCTTAGAACATAAGATGCAAGTTAATACTTTTTTTTTTTTTTTAAGAACTGCGTTTTATCCAGCTGGTAACCAGTTTTCACATCCTTAGCCAAGTTCAGAAATTCAGAAATGAGCTGTAAGGTAATGTCATTTGGACTCCTGCACTCTCAGACCCACTTATACTTGCTTCCTGCTGGGTAAGGCAGACCAAGAGGGGAGAAGCCAGAGGACTGTGAAATTAAAATAGGACAGACAGCTTCTTTTACTTACACGTTTTGATAACGTTCCTGTTATTTACAAACATGGTAAGAATTGGTGCACTGATAAAAGGATGTGATTATGAATGGAAGGATCTGTTCCTGCAGTCTGCACTAAGTGAACAATTCCAAGTGAGGCGCTGCGGACACAAAACTCTGCCGCAGAGAGACAGCAACTCTAGTTCAATTCGAGTTGTTGCAATGTGTATATTCAGAGCATCAGAAGACTCTGTCCATGCCTGCAGTCGAGATTTACTCTGTACTTGACTAATCTCTGTGTTTGATCTTCCTGCTACGTCTACACTGCTCTTATTGTTTGACGCCAAGAACCTGGTGGGCTTCCCACTCCACTTGTTTTTCTGTCCAGACCCTGCCAGTCCATCTAGACAGGTCAGGGATCACTGGGTGTATTTGGACCTCCCATGTCTTACCTGTCCCAGTTGGGGCAATCCGGCTGCATCTGCGGTCCTGCTTTCAGCTTGCCACATGTTCAGACCTAAATCTACATGAGTGTAAGACTTAACTTCTTAGAGCAGTTTGGAAGGAGATAAGGGCTTCATGGAGTTCAACAGAAATCAACAGAAATATATGTGAATTTCACATGCTTAATTAGTTAGTCAGCCATTTCTAACACATCAGATTGTATCTTTTAAAGAAATATATTATAACTTGGTAGCTCTTCTTACCTCTGTGAGATGGTTTACGTTTTTCAGGAAAACTTCCTGAAGTCCTCACAAAGGTTAAGGTTCTTGAGAATCTGCCTGAACTGCTTGTCAGATGATTTAAAGCAGAAATAGTCAAGTACGCGCTGAAATTCCAGTGCTTTAATTACTCCAGTGTCTTGTTTATCAAATAGAGAAAATGCCTGAGAAGCAAGAATTCAAATTATTTTGGCAAACCTAGACATTAAAAAAAAAAAAGCAAGCCATTTTTAGCAATCATTTAGCAGTTCACATGAAAGTACCTGAGACCCATATGCCTTTTACTTGCAGGTATTTTATACATGAAGGAAGAAGACACATTTCTCAGAGCCTTACTTAGTTTGAAGCTTTCCTTTCTTTTAAAAATCAGATGTAATTGTTGAAATAAGCCAAAAATAGCCTGTATTTCTGTGCCACATGTAAATAGAAGTTTGGAAATAAACAACAACCTGCAGTAAAAGCAGAAAGGCAATATAGCAAGTATCCAAACATTCCAGAAAAGGAAGTGGTTAAGATGAGAGTAAACAAAAATATTTGAGGACTGCCTTAAATAACTTGAATTGAAATATTTTTAATTAAACTCACCCGAGCATATTTAATTTGCCTTTTGTCCATCCCTCCCCACCCTGTTTTCTACTCTGTAGAGGCCTTGATAGTCCTTCATCCTCATTAGCTTTGGCGCATCCTGAAGGCTGGCTTGCTCTCTTCTCCTCCTCCTTTGCACAAAATTCCCGGCCTATTCTCTGTGGGAGTTTTCCAAAGGTTTCCCAGCGGGAACAGATTAGGTTTAGCACAGTTGCAGCAGGAGGCACAAGAGAGAGTAGTTCAAATGAGTGACAGCAATACCAAGGTGTAGAAAAGTTGTGGGTCATATCCACTCTCATTCTGCCTGGCTGCTGCTAACATACTGTGCCTCCTTGTTTTATTCTGCCCCTTATTTATGTTGCTGCATATATAAATCACTGATTGCATAAATGTAAATGATATTACACCTTTGAAAACTTCAGTTTTAAGTCCTATTAGTATCTTCTTAATATGAAAGTTTGATCTTTGCTTACATACTGAAAGTCTTATGGGAAAAACTAGGCATTGAGTATATGGTATGCATATAGTACTAGGTATGGTGAAAATGCATGGGAAATTATTATACTGAGAGAGAGGACCCACCTGAACTCTTAAACTATGTGTTATGGAACTTCAAAGGTCTGTATTCAGTTGTAGAAATGTCGTGGATGGGATGTGATGTTTGTTGGGTTTTTTTCAACTAGCAGGACTCTAGGAACTGTGCTTTCAGATCTGCCTCTTTCTAACAAAATATTTTGTTAGAAGCTTTAGAGTACCCCATCACATAGGTGGCAGCAACTATTACTCAAAATATGGCTCGGAAGAAAATTGGGATCTTCCTTCTTTTCTCATGTAAGGGAAATGAGAAAAAATTCTGCTTTTCCATAGCATGGTGGACAACATCTGGCTCTCCACGGAGAAAATCCCTTCGTCCCTGAAGTTATATTAACCACCAAATCGTATCCTAAAAGACTAAATAGATGATTTGTTCATGCCAAAAGTAATTTTCAAATCATACCCTCAGCAGACAAAACCATGACCTTCTCTATTCCCAAGACATCCACATATGAGAGGACAGATATTGTCTTCTATTAAAATTTAACAAACACTAACCTGTGCTATTGAATTTATCTATTTCTTATTTCAATAATGCAGAGCACAGGAAGGATTTTTTTCCCTTTACTATGAAAAATGTAAAGTGATTATATAAATATTTCAGTATCCTGTTCAATAGTTAGTCTACGTGGCCAAAAATGGCACCGTGGCCCTAACAAGTTTACAAACATCACAGGAGTCTCCAAATAGCATGAAAAGAGATTTCTGTAAAGAAACAGCCTCTCTCACGGTAATACTTTTTCTTGGGTGCTTGTACCAGTGACATCAGTAGTGATGTCTTTGTTGGAAGCCTGTGTTGTTTTTAACTGCAGGAAAGAGTCCACAGATTGAGATTTCAGAAATGCAGCCACTGATGACAGGGAATTTCTACCCCTATCGTTTTCCCAGCCACTGTTCCCTTCCCCTCCCTTGTGTGGGCAGCACTCTCCCATGGGCGTGCATAACTGATCAGGCTTTTGTCAGGTTGAAGTTCTGTGACCCACGTCATTGGGCAAGAAGACAAGAACTGGTTTTGACTCAAGGCAGGTGGGAGGACCACTTTGCTGGGGATACAGGGGTAGCGAGACCAACTTTGCAGGCATAAGCCTGCCTCTAAAGCCACGAGCTTAAACTAGACCTGAAACTGCAGGTGCAGACAAGATGGCTCCGCAGTTCTTTGCAATAGCAATGTTTCCTTCAAGGTCTTTTTGATTATTCTTTCCCATGCTTGAAAATAATCTTACTGTGGCATCAAGAATTATTTACTCTAGAGGCTGCTGCATTTCAGTAGACTCCAACACAACAGCCTAAGACTACTTAATATACAGCATTTTTTCTGTATTCTAGAGAGAAATGGTTATTTTTATTGTTCTCATTTTACAGGTGGGAAAACCAGGAAACTTACTGCTTGACAGCTAATGCACCTTACCTGTCAGTGTCAGAAACAGAAGTGGCCAAGAGCATAAATGCAGATAGTTGCAGAGCCCCAGCTGACAGGTGCTAACTTCTGCAGCCTCTATAATGTGCTCACATCTGATCATATGTCTTTATCCTCAGTTACTACATGATGCTTTCATCTGATAAAACCATCATGCCTGCCTGCAGTAGCACATCACATCTACTTATACAAAGCCTCAGCTTAGGAAACTCAACATACTCTTTAAAAGATGTGATATTTACACACTTGGGACAAAATTTACTGATGACTGGAGGAGGAAAAGGGGTTTGGGGAAGAGAGGAAGGTCCTGATAATTTGCTATTCACTTTTTCCTTTCCAATCCTTACCTTCACAGAACCTCCAGGCTTGATTTGATATGCTTGTTTTATGGAGTTACCAGAATACAATCAATTAACAAGTCTGTAGTTGTCAGAAGATGCTATTTCTACATACGTCGAGGTTGTTGGTAACACTCAACTAATAGCAGAAAAATTTTGAAGCCTTTGGGTTAGTCCCCATCCAGGCAGAAAAAAATAGACATTAAATAAGATGCGGTGACCACATGAAACTTACCTTGTACAACAAATCATAAGATGATGCAACTATTTCTTTTATCCCAATTAGGGTCTGTTCTAAGCTGAGCGCTGCAAAGCTTGCAGGTGGTGCAGCCTGCTTTTGTCTCTGTTGGTATTTAGATGCTCTGCCATCATCAATTGCTCTCAGGAAATCAAAATAAGAGAGCTTGCTGTCATGAATGCTGATTCCTAAGCTAAGGGAAAAACACAGAAAGAGATATCAATGATTTTAAATTATTATCTCACTGTTGTCTGTACTGATTAATTATTATGATGTATTATTTGTACTGCAGCAGTGCTTCAGGATACGCTTGTGCTGTCAGTGTATAAATTCTGTTAGTTCCAGCCCAAGCTCTTTCTCAGGTCTAAGCCCCCAATCCTGTCATTTTAATGCAACCACACTCTCAGATGCAGATCCAGGCCAATCTCTGGATGCTCAAGAAGACACCTGCTTTAGCCTGGGCCCAAGAGCTCAAGCTTCCAGTCCATCAACATTAACTCTGTGCTTCTTAAACACAGTGCACTATTTTGATCACAATCTACTGCTGAGCTTACCATCCCCAGTGCAGCTGGAGGACATGTCAGCTCCCAACCTTGTCCTTGAACCTCCTTTTCGCATGACAGTGTAAACACAGTCTAATAGGCTCTGTTGAGGAGTAGATGTTTATTGTGCTGAGTGCTGGTACTTTCCTTTGATTTTCTGCTTTACAAAAACACCTTGGGCTCACAGATGCTGAAGTGCTGCTTAAGCCTCCAAATATGTCGTGATCATTACAATTCGGAGAGAAAGACGCAGAACCACATACAGTCTGGTAAGCTGTTACCAGACACAAGGTAGGACATCCAGTACTGCTCCATGATACACTTCATGGCTGTATCAGCGCAGGTCTATACTCACTCATGGTTTCTCCACCACATGGGAGGAAACCAAACCAGGTTCCATACAACGCTTCTCCTTATGTTTGCGTTAGAAGGGATTACCTTCCCCCTCCACCTGTACTTCACCCTGCACGGTTTGGCAGGCTACTAGAGAACTATTTTACGGGTTCTCGGCAGGACTCAGCCTCACAGTGTCCAGGCACTGGCCCTCCCTCCACCAAAGGTGCTGCACAGAGGGTTGGCACATTTGGCCCAGCAGCTGCTGCCATTGACTCATGGGTGCTCTGTGTCCAGTGAGGGTTTCTCTTCTGATCACTTGTGGTCAGGCTGTACTTGGGAGCTCAGCCCATGGGCTCTGCGGGCTGTACTCACAACTTGCTGAATTCCTGTCTGTCAGCTGAAACATCTGCTGGATCACAGACACCGGGGAATTTCATGTTCTGTCACATCGGAAATTCAGTGGGTTACAGAGCTGACTACAGATAGCTCCAGGTAACAACAGTGAATATATTTTTGCATCAAATATCAGCATGGGGAAAGACGAGTTCTTGCATATGATTTGGGGAAATTTTTTTTTGCAGAGGACTTTGTTACCAAACTAAATTAATTTTTATTCAAAGATGTTTTACCATAAAAAGGCTGGAATTAAGGCAAGATTCACATATACAGAAAATATGTGAAAATAAAAGTTATTTAGCATGAAAGACTAAGATGAGATTAATAGCAGTAACAATTACACGAAAAGCTACTTACTTCCAGTGCCCTGTGACTTATGACCACTTAAGGAAAAGACACTTGGTATATTTTAAACAAGGACTTCAAACCTGTCTGAGGAGCCTGTGGGGTTCATCACCACAAGGGATGCAATAGCAGGGGCTTGCTCTGCTCTCACTTACCTAGTATAAAGCCAGTGAAGTCAGATTATGGAATTTCCTACCATTGAAAGACAATCAGAGAGTCTCCAGACTACAGTATACGTTGGGTGTTTTTGATACAGATCCATTGGTTCCCATGGAATTATTGCAGATTGACCTTACAGTTACCATCTACGCAGAGGTTTCTAATGGACTTTAATAATTTTATAGCCAATTATCAGAACTATAGAATCTTTACACACATGTATTAGGTAGACAATTCCTATGCTGCAGGGGAAAGGCTGGACTTTTTTTAGTCTTGCATTCAGCTTTTTTATTAGAATTACGGTCAAAGCAAGCCCTAGAGAGCCAAGATTTGACAGAGGAGATGGCCCCACTACACAACCCTGATTTTCTTGTTTAAAACTGAATTACTGTAATGTACTTTTATCATCTGTTTCCACAGTAAATCACTGGGGACCAATGCCTCAGCTACCAATCACCAGAATATCCAGTTACAAGAATGTCTAATTAATGGGGAGAGCCAGTAAAACAAAGAGGAAGCTTTATAAAACAGGCTGGAAAAGAAATTAACTATAGACCCCATATCTGCTAGTAAGAAAAAAAATATTCAAGAGCCCTGATTTTGCATCTTGCAGCTGCACAGCACTCCCACATACTACCCGTGTCAAGCTGGCTCCAATATTGGAGACAGTGTGTGGAAAAGGAAATAATCAACACCATTTCAGCGGAGAAATAAATTGCCAAGTGGGCATTAAAATTTTAGTAATAAAACTAAATGCATATGCTAATCTACTCTGTATTATTTAGAAAAGACTATTTTGGATCAAGAAAGGAATAATCTGCACAAAATTACAATGAATGGAGGTGTTTATCATCAAGAGGTCTTTGAGAAAGAAACAAGCAGCAGATTCCTATCAAGGTTTCAATTCATAAAAAGTTGATCACCTAATTAAAGGTGAACTGTGAAAAGACTTTGTTAATTTTATTTCAAAAAAGAGTCTGGTCTGGCAGGCTCTGGAGAACAAAACCCAGTGCTGCCAGGCATGTGACCTTTGGGGGACAGTTTGGTGTAGAGAACCCCAGTTACCTAATGCTGGAGCAGGTCCTTTGTGTTTTTCAGACTCTACAAAAGCGATTTTTCTTCTTACTCATATTAACATAGAGAATTAAAAGCATAGTTTTGCATGGCAGCATCATTGGATCATTTGCAAATTATTGCTATTTTATAACCTGATTTAATTCTGTTTCTCTTTTGAACAGGATCCGTTTCATACATTTGCTCTATTAAATTGAAATTAAATAAATAAAACAAACTAGCAAACAAATACTCATACTTAAAGCATACTTTTTTATGTAAGAAGCCATTTCTCTCACTATCTGCAGAAGCAATACATTACCTAAAAAGATTTTCCACTTATATGCAGTTTTAAGCATGTGGGTATCTCCATTAGTTTTAACAGAGCTTCTTATATGCTTAAAACTAAATAGAAGCTTTTAGGCTTTGTTGGGTGTGACCAAAGAAGTGCTTAGGTGATAATCATACAAACTCGTTTATAAGATGACTGAACTGATCATGATCAAGGTAATAGTTGAATTCTTGTAGGATCCTGTGCAGGTCACATACTGTTACATAGCCATCTCTATTTTTATCTGCTTTATGAAAGGCCTTATTGAAATCTTGGAAGTAATCCCTAAATTTATCCCTGAAAGACAGCAGATGTTTATTTTAGCTCCTTTGTTAAATGAGATAAAAAGGATACAAACAAATATACAAAATAGGGGTGGAGGGGCAGAGAAAGATTTTGAGCTTATTTGTGTGTGGTAAGTTCATATAATTTATTCAAAGACTGCCAAATTGTTCACAAACAAACCTCAAACCCAACATCCCCCCCATTTAATTTGCACATGGAATTGCATGGCTCAGGCCTCCCATTGTAAACAAATGCTCCTTGGGTGATTAACTGGCTACTCTCCCCGTTCGGAACTGCAGCTACAAAACACAGTGCTCTCTTTTAAAACGTGTCCTGATTTGAGTTCCAAAATATTTAGTACAGCTGTTAAAGGGATAAGGGGTTGGCAGCATACTTTCTGCAATTTGAGGCTCCTGAAACTTTGATATAGTAAAGAAGAACTATTTCAATAAAAGGGGTTAGACCCAAGCAACACCTGGAGTGATGCAGGACCTGATCCATGCCCAAGGGAAGAAGAGCAGAGCTTCTGCTGACTCATGTGGACTTTGGATCAGCACCTCAAAACTCTCCGAGATATTTATCATTTCTTACACATGATCAAATTCAGGCCTCAAAATCTTGCCTCTTCCACTTTATTTTGTAACTCATACTTCACTGACATCAGGGTCCTTTTGATCAAACTTTCGAAACCCAAATAATATCCTTCTCTGCCTCTTGATTCAACAAAAGCCTCTCCGTATTTTTGCTCAAGAGGACAAAGCAGGTACAGACATTTCTACTTACTGCATGTTTTCAACTAGCAAAGTTGCTTAAGATTAATGTAAATAAAAATAGTTGTGAATTACGTATTGGTGCAGATTACCAAGTATGCATAAATTATCTACGTATATTCGGCACTTACAAGATGACAGCCTTATAGCAAAAGTGACAAGTTTGGATCTCGGTTAATACCTACAGCCACACTCCATTTGCTTTGGGGTTGCTCTTTCTGACAGTCCTAGGGTACAGAACGTGGAGGCTGGGTTCTTTAGAGAGCCAGGATATGTAGTATAAAAGGCTTATTACAGTGATAGCACAGTTCGACAGTGTAACCCACATAATCAAGCACGATTCATTGCCTCAGCCTCTCACCAAGCCTGTCTGTGGATCTAACAGCTCAGACCAGCTCACTCTGCTTCTCGTTAAGCCACCGTCAATCAGCCAGGACCTGAGCCTTACATTTTCTCCTTCGTATGAATACCGTGCAATCAGTTGCTATAAGGCTGACGCGGGACATGCTAAATCTCCTATGCTTTTTAGCAATACCCAGTAAGTCTTTTCAGAGCTCGACAGATTCTCGTGGATCTACTCAGGGGCGTCTGGTCTCAGCTGCAGTTACTGGTGCTGCCTTTCCTCTCACAGCATTGCAGAATCCTTGGGTTTCCATTTGTTTTCAAGAAGCTGTAAGTTCAGTACAGCCTTTACAAGAAAAATGCATTTTCCTTCTCATTTTTTTCTCCTAAGAACCCATCCTTTTGGATTTTGCACTTTGAACGAACAGACTAATTTCCCCACAGCCCTCAGGGTCCAGGAAATGCCGTTGTCTATGTAAACAGTATCACCCACCTCAAAAAATCTGAATTATAATATGACTTAGGTGGGTCGTTAGCAATTTATTGTGTATTTCAGACCCATTGTACCTTCCACAGTTATATGGACTAAATTGGGAGTACCAGGACTCTCTGCTTAACCAAGTTTCAGTTGTCTAGAAACCATTTTTCAATGATATTTCTCTCAAGTTCAGTGAAGGTATGGATCTCTTCTCAGGCTTCACAGTTTGCTTGAACCATCTTTTAACAGTTTTAGCTCAGCTCACCGTTGTATTCAGGATATCTGGATAACCTTCAATCCTTAAAAATTATTTAAGGTCTAAGCTGCTGAACAGGGCACCATTGCTAGGCAAAATTTCTGGGACTCTATAATCAAACAAATAAAGCATTAATGCATGCCATAACGTGTTCTGATGCTAAATTCAATCCAAATACAATTTCAGGCTAATGTCCAAGTCAGATACTTACAACAGGTTCAGGTGAATCAACATACGGTCTTTTCTTTGACATTTTTCAGCAGCTTTGTGAGTGTCCTGCGCTCTGTTAGGCATGTCAGGTCATAATACATTGACACCACTACGCTGTTAACTCTGAAGTGTGTGCTGCTAAACACAGAAAACTCTGATCTGAATTGGTCATATGGGCTTGGTATGCAATGCCCTCACTACCCAACAGGTGGTAGGTAACCTTCATGACTTCCTGCATTGTGTCATCTGCACAGCCTCTCCAAACCCAGCCAGCTTTCTTCTCAAATAGGATAATTCCTTTTTTAATGCTATTTCCAGCTGTTATGTCATTCTCTGTGTTTTCAAGGGTAGACTCCTTGAATGCTCTAGAAAGTATGAGTTTGACCAGTAATTATTTATCCAACTTAAAATTTATTGTCAAATTGAATGGTTTTACCTTAAAAATAAAACACTAAAAGTCACACTATTTTTATATTCTGGAAGCTGGTCGTTCTTTTTCCTACAAATTGATTTGTGTCAGCTCTAACCATAACAGATCGATGAACAAATATGTGACATTTCTTACAATCACAGAGCAGAGCCAGAACTCTGCTCTCTTGGTTTGTGCCTCGAATAGTGGTGTTGACAAGCAGCCTAGAAACACAGGCCGCACATTTCCACTGATTATTTTTTCAATAATACTGCCTCTAAAACATCTTTTGAAGACTTTATCTTCCAGTGCCAATATACATAAGGCCAGGAGTTGTCTTTACTAATGCATTTGATTTGGGAATTCTTTTCCCAGATTTACAGCCCAGTATGTCCATTTTGTGTAGTAACTCAAAAGCTACTTTCACAGATTACCTGTGTGATATGAACTCTCATGTAACATTCACATGCAAACAGGAGTCCGGACACCCTTATTATCTTTCTGGATGGCATATTTGTAATGACTCCGTTTTAACTTGTGTCCAGTTAATCTTCTATGTTATTTCTCTGCCCTTACATTGGCGTTTCTGTCTAATCCTACTTCTCAGGCCTGCTTGGATCCTTTTTTTTTCAGTTTCCCTACTGGTTTTGTCCCCCTCAACATCTTCAATATCTATTTAAGGAGCCACAGTTGCTTCAAGTAAATGGATTTTCTTACACTTTCCTGTGAAAACTCAAGAATGAACTTTAAGCCTAAAAGAAGTCTTTGAAAGCGGAATCTCCATGGTTGAAACATGCATAGTGTTAAACTCCTGTCATGCAAGGAAGTTTGTTTGGATCCAGAAGAAGAATCTGAACTTGTAATTTGTGTAAAAATTTATTAACAGTTTTAAGAACATACGCAGTCCTTCTACCCGAAGATATCTTGTATAGGACAGTGTCTGTCAAGAAACACATACTTATCCCCACTGGATGTAAGGAAAACCTCAGTGACTTATTTTTTGATCTTCCTATTGTTAACTGGCTCTTCCATTGTTAAACCTCTCACCATTACTCCTACGTAATCTAGCTTCTTTACAAGCTGCTTTTTCATGACCAGGGGAATGTTCCTAGCAGCACACGCTGTGAAAATACAGCTTTATATTTTGGGTCTACTTTATCATCTCTAACACTAAAGATTTCTGGGTACTGATCTCCTGTGTTTATGGTTCCTTCATCAGACTCACTGTTTTAACCAAGCCCAGGGCTAGGCATATTTTAGACCGAATATTAGCTCTTTCTGCCTATAAACTTAAACTGCTGTTTTTATCTTCACTTTTCAATTTAAGTTCATACAATCCTTTAGTAGGAACTAGATTCTCAGTAGACACCCTCAGTTTCAATAGTCTTTCTTCTTATGAAGAGATTCCTGAGCCAAATTTTTTACAGCGTGCTTTGGAGGTAACATTGACTGAGCACTTGTTTTGAACTTAGATGTGTTTATTCTTAGTCTACGGCCCCCTTCTCCAGCTTTTGCATGGAATTCCTATGTGGTATTTTGTTGTATTGTTGGTTTGTGTACCTTCACATAGACCTGGGGGTATGGAAGATTTTCTCTTTTGTTTCTGCTTTTCCAGTTGCAAGGTCTTGCAAAATAATTGTATTTCTTACAGCTGATGCAGAAATTCTACAGGTAATGTGATTTCCTGGACATAATGTGAGTCTGTGAATTTTCATATATTTCACTTCTGCTACTACTTGCAGATAGCTCTGAAGAGTTTCTTCAAAATTGTCTTCTGGTTTCCTGATAGACAGCATGTCCTGCTCCCCTTCTGATATTTTCATATTGTCCCTTACGATTGTCCTAGATTGACTAAACAGATTTTCCTTTTTTTCCTTTTTTTTTTTTCCTTTTTTTTTTTGTTTGTTTTTTGTTTGTTTTTTTGTTTTTTATTTTAGATCCTACCTTTCTGGGATCTTTTCTGTATCTTTGAATCTTTGATTCCAATCACTATCTGATCCCTTAAAATGTGATCTTTCAAAATGTCATAGCTACTTGACTGATCCGTTATTTTAAGATCAGCCAAAAATTCTTCAAAAGATTCCTCCTTCTGCATTCTCGTATGAAACCCGTGTCTTTCAGAAGTTCAAGTTTCCTTGGGAGTGCAATATTCCTTCAACTTTCTTTCTGTAGCTGCATGGATTGCCCTCTCACCCTGGCTTGGTTTCATGACATTAAAAACTTTGATAGCTCCTACTCCTGTAATATTCCAGAAAATAGTTGTGAGCTTCCTTATGATTAATCTAGCCACTGCATATAGGTTTCAAAGCCTGATGTGAATCTTTTCAAGGAAACTGCAATATTGCCAGTGTGTTTTAGAGTCTCTAAAATCCCCCAAAGAGCTATCACCTTTTTTTTCACTTTCAAATCTCATTTTTTTAGTTAATTCCTTCCTCTTTTTCACATTCTGCTCCTGTTACCATGTGGTACTTGGTTTACACTCAAAGCGAGACCTATGTTGGAAAGAGCGTAGAAGTATGCTGCAGAGGGTGCACATCAGTCAGAGTGTGCTTGCATTGCACTCAAATTAGCTTTACTGTCTTGAATCTCCATGATTCGATTTACTGACTAACCAGCTCAGACTCCTTCAACCTCCTCTTAGATATGAGACCCTAGAGATCCCACATCTGCTAATTACATCTCTGGGTTTTAACTTTTATTATGTTTAGAATCCTAAAGACTTTCCAGCAGAGACACAGATCTAAAATTTGCTGACAGAGGGTTTGCTTTTTTTGAGTTACTGTAATATGCCACAGCTTAAAACCCATGGCTTTACAGTGATTGCAAATGGGCAATGCTGGAGGAGGATGGGTGCGAGAGACCAAAAGAGTCAGACCTAGAAAGCAGGATGCAGCAGCCTAAAAGCCCAAAACAGCGGACCATCCTAAAGGCAGTTTGCGATTTCACTGAGAGACTGATCTCCCCCAGCCCCGGAAGACTATTTAGCACTGCTTCTTCCGTCTTGCAAGGGTGTGCTTTGAATGTGTGATATGGTCCACGTTGTACCCTCACTGCAGAAAAATTCTGGACTGTTTTCAACTGTATGTTACTTGCAGTGCCACTCTTCATCACCACTATTATCTTCCATTTAAATCCTCCTAATGAAAGTAAAGGCTGCAGTAAAATTAAATCAGTTTTTGAGATTCATATTTTTGGAAAATTGAGGCATTCAACGTTTTTGGACTGGTAAAAGATTTCCAAGCAGTAATTATTCCACTCACAGCAGTAAATATGTGTGTGGAGTAAATGAGGATTAAACCCATAGATCAAGTTACATAGCCAAAAAATAATATTTTCTTGCAATTGTTTTGTATTTTTCTTGAAGAACTGGAGAGCCACTGTTCAATGTCTGTTTCTAATTTGGGCGATTTGTTCCTGTGAGTTACAACAAAAGCAAAAAGAAGAAAAAAAAAGTGCACAGCAGTATGTTTTGAATTGTAAGATGTCCAGAGCTTTTGTCTGCCTCACAGTGTGTAATCACAGGGCACTGAAGCTGCTCGAAAGCTGTTAGGGTGAGGTTCACAGCCCTTGCAGAAAGCCAGAAGAAAGGAGACAGGCTGGATGCGGCCACTGCACAAATAGAAACGAGAGGGCTTCAGCAAGATCACAGAAAGGGGAGTTGGTGCTGGTTCCAATGCAGCCGAAGTGGGTCCTATAACCAGCAAATTCCCACCTCAGGCAACTGCCTCCTCCCAGTCTGAATTTGACAGGTGAAAGGAATCAGTTTTCCCACTCCTTGAGAATGGAGGCTGAGACCCACGTGGATCACCAAGATTGGGTTTTGCAGCCAGTGCATCCATTTTTCCGACCAAGAGCAGATCTCCTTACGCTGACCTTAACAGTAGGAGGGCACAATGCCCAACAGTGCTTCCCATATCTCAGCTGTCTTATATGGTCCTGGAGCAGAAGGCTGAGACTCGGCTGGATCACTGCCTTCACAGCCACCACGTGGATGGATTTCGATTTCATCCATCAGACAATGACTCCGGCTTAAGAGTCATTTATGGCTTTCCAGGGCCTTATGTGAAATTTGAGGAGTTCAGAGGCCTGGATTCAACTCCTTTTGTACTTCCAGCTTTCCGAGAGAGAAAACCAGACAGGAACTACTACCACAGGACTGTTCCCACTGGCCAGGAAGTGGGTGAGAAAGTGTGGGAGACAGAAGAGAACATTCAGCCAGAACAGAAAGGTAGCAATAATCAATAACAAGGCACGCTTTTGCAGGCCACAATTAAGCTGTGAACTCATTCCCAGAGGAAGCTGCAGATGCCAGAAAATTCAAAAGATTAAGAGCAGAACTGGATGTCTTATATAAATCAAGAAAATCCAGAATCTAACAAATAATTAGAACATAATTTCTGAAAGCGGTATAAAAATCCCATCTGCAGGCTTAAACTAAACTCAGTCATCCCCAAGATGAGACAGCCCTAGTGCAGGGAACAGAATATTCCATGCCCATCTATTAGAAGGCTGCTCCACCTCAATCAGAAACTTCTGGATCCGGTTGCTAGCAGGTAACTGAATCCAGTTATACTTGACCCAGTCTGCCAATTTCTGTTTTCCTCCAAATTACTATTGGAGGAAATACTATATTACTATAGGAATTGCTATGCACTGGTATCTAAGTATTTGTGTATATAGTTGCCATATACATAGTTCTATACATAGTCATTGTTATAGTAGGTTGTCAAAAGTAAATAATTCTAAATGATGTGGACCTGCCAGCAGGTCACATCACAGCTATTTTATTTTTATTTGTCATGTCTTCCCCATTGATTTAATTAGTCTCCAGCTGCTTCGAGGTGAGTATTTGCATCTTAGAGCCACACTGCATAATTTCTGCTTGCAGCACAGCATCTTCCCTACTTGCAGAGCTGCTTCTTATTTATAGCATTGGAGGCAGGGCTGCCTTGCACTTGGCATTGCACTAACAGGAAAGAAATAGAAAGTTCCTGACCAAAAGAGCTCTTCATCCAAGTGTAAAGCTAGAGACAGTGGGCTGGTACAACAAATGGAGCAGAAGAGCCCAGTGTAAGACTGTTAGGGCCTAAGTTTCACATCAGACAGTTATAAATACAGTAATGAGCAATGCCTGCAACACAGCAGCTGCCTAACCATCTCTGTTGTATATTATGCAATTTTTTACAGGTGGAATGCTCGTTGGATACCTGTGGGTGTCATAAGTGCAGTTTATGCCAGAGACCTGCAATGCAGGTGGGAGAGTTGTGATGCTGAAAAGAGAGTTTTGCCCTTGATTCCTTCAGCCTATTTGGGATACTGAAAAACAGAATTTAAAAAAGCAAGGTAAAAAGGCAAAAGCCTTAGCTTACAGGCTTCTCTCTGTGTTTTGTGGGTTTCTGTCTAATGATTTCCCAAGTTGCCTCTTTATCTGCAAGACAAGGGCTGCTCTTCTTTGTTTATGACTGTATCACCTTTACCAACAATGTCACGGGGAATTATCATTCTTATCAATAATAATTTATTAGTTCCTACAGCTTCCAGACACCTTCTGAGCATAAAAGAAAGCAAATCTGTGCTCTTGGGGGTGTATTTTTACATGTTTTTTTTTGCTCCTGAGGGTTTCTACTCATAACTAACTAACTAACTAACTAACTAACTAACTAAATAAAACGGTTCAGGAGAAGAGTGAAAGCACAAGCAGAAAACACAATAAGCATCCAGGTGGTGTCTATCTAGAATCTGGAAATATAAAATTTTAACAGCACCGTACTAGGGCAGAGGATTCTCCTGCTGCCTCAATCTGCTGGCAGGTGCAGGAATCCTATAGCATCAGCAGGCTAATCACTGCTGACTCACTAGGGCAAGCATGGATCATTAGACTCCAGTCTGAGTGGGGTATCATTTTGTCATTTGTTTGTCAAATGCTCTTCTCAGGAGCAATGACCTATTAACTCTGTGAGTGTTGATTTTGTTTGAGGCGGAGACTCCGCTTGCTTGGAGACAAGGTGCTTATTTCTGTCATATGGAGCCAGGGTCCATCCTTGTCAAGACTGTTTTTTTGCTGAATCTACAAAGACATTCACTAACGATTTAACTAACTGCTAGAGGGATGTGAAACCAACTGTGATTGCTACTTGGCCCTCATCCAAGGGGCAGGGTAGGATATGGGACCACAGTGTCCTACACGCCCAACCATTCCAGCTGCAAGAAAAGCCCCTGTTGAGAGTTATCAGGAAGGTCTAAGTCTACGTTCACTGAAGTAATCTGAGAAGAAGAGACCTGCAGGGTGACAAAACTACACTTGCTCTTCTCTCTCAATCTGAGCTGACAGCAGTGTTAGGACTGGAACCACAAGCTGAGATGATACCAATAAACAGGCCAGAAAGTGCTCTGGGCACAGAGGCCAGCTGGCGCATATCTGCTAGTCTGCTAGTAAACCTTCTTTGCCTCCAAAAGGGAGCAGCTGGCTGCAAACTGCCTATTAGAAAGGGTCCTCGAAGCATTCTTGCTCCCAAACGGTGCTGGGCATGCTTGGGGAAAACATTAGCTGACACAGTCCAAAGCATGATGAGGACTGGTTTGGCCATCTAGCAGCATAGATGACTATGTCTGGGAATGTCTCTGGACATTCTGATTTGTCAGTATACATATTGCTGTAAAGTCTGTAAAATAAGTAATATAAGTCATGGAGAATATCTGTAAAAAATGTCTCATAACGCACACTGAGCTAGGCTTATCTCCAGCAAATCAAGGGAATAACACTATGTATAAGCTTGGTCCAGTACCTTCTGAAACTCCTTTTCAGAGCCTTTTGTGGTAAAAGTACATTTTTATTGTACACAGTGTCATCTTAACAAACCAAATACAAACATAGACAGTTATATGCTAAGCTCATAAATAACTTACTTGATCTGCTTTTGAATTTCTCTTCCATGCAGAGCTTTAGTTTGCTGTTTCTGCCGCTCTTCCAGCTTTGAATGCTTCCTTTGTTGATTATTATAATGTATTTGTAAATGCGCATAGCTGTCTTCCATGATGTGTTTGCTGAGCCCTGTGTCAGCGGGTGCAAACTCTATCCCCAGTTTCTGTAAAAATTCTTGGTGAGTAAGATATCATTTTGCATCTGTATCATACCTTGAAAAAGAAATGCTCTTTTTAAATATTCATGTGTTCTTCACAGAAAGGCATTACAGATGTCCTTAAGTGACTTAACAGCTTAAATCTCACTGACTTCCCTTCCTTATATAGGTGCCGTACCACACTGAGGAGGGAGTGACTATATGAGACTCGAAAGATAGCGCTTATGTGTTGTAATCACAGAGTTGATTCTGAAAATACTACCCTGAGGACCAAATTGTCAGGACTATTCTCCAGCTCTCAGTACTGCTGCCTTTCAGCATTTGGCTTGAGATGCAGAGAACAGTGTTCCTAAAAATTCAGTCTCAAGTGTCTCAAACTGGTCATACAAGTCTGAGATGCCCAGAACTGTAATCATCCTTCAGAAACATAGGTTTAGCTTCATAAACACTTTTCATATTTTCTTAGGTATAAACCATTCCATAGGCTTTTTCTCTTGAGGTTTCTCCCCCTGCTAGTGCTCTGATGCATGGTAATGCCTAATTTAGCCTCAGCTTCATTCTAATTCCTTTATTCAAGTTACAGACATACCAGGCACATTCTATAAAAGGAGTGGCTGATGGGAGTGAAGTTGTGCAGCAGATAACTGCATGAAAAGGATACTCTTCATGTGCCATGGCATCCATAAGGAATAAGAATGGAAAGTAAAATCTAATGGAGTAGAAAATAATTCAGAGATGATTCCATGCTAAGAAAAAACTATATAGTTAATGCAGTTTGAAACCAAAATGCAATACACTCAGGTTCTATATGTTAGAGAGAGTGATTATTTTTTTTAAATAGACCTATAATGAAGGTAGCTTTTTATATAATGTCACATACAGCTGACATCTATGCCATTTCAAACACATTTGATAGCATGGCTCCTCTTTGTTGAAGGCAGGTAAGTATTTTCTCCCACTTCACAACGAATTACTTGTCTATAAAAACATTTCATGATATTACTTGCCATCTTTACACAGCATGAAATTACCTTACTTTCTTTTGTTATGTATTTGGTACGTAGCATTTTCCTTTGACTGAATCACTTTTATTTAGGTTGAAAATATTGTAAGTAAATTCAGTGCTCTGAAAAGGAGAGGCTGGTAGCACTGCCTTCGGGCAGGTATGCAATGTGGATTGTCTGCAGAGCTCCTTGACAGAAGCTTTGTCTGCAGTTGCCACCTGACCCAAGACACCTGGAACTGACTTTCACCCCTCACAAACTGAGGTAGGCATTTGTGTGTACAAACAAAAACCTAAGGTGCCACCCAAGAAGAAAATGCATCTTAAATTAAAGGGATCAGTAATACTGAAGCCAAGAGAAAGTCCTGTCTTTGAATTCATTGGAAACTGATGGATCTAATTGTATTCTTGAGCTTAGTATGATAAGACGTAGCCTCCTGTAACACAGTGTCATGATATGAGGTCACAATCATAACAAAATAAAATGTTTCTTGTGCAGTGTAATCTATTGTCATTCGCTGCACTACCAAAGGCTCTATAATCCTATAAAAGATGCATTATTCCAAGAGCTAATCATTTAGAGTTGTCATACCTTGCCCAAAGCTGCTTAAATTCTTTCAGGGTGATTGGAATGCCAAATCTGAACAAGACTTTCTTCAAGTCCCTTGGCTGTATAATGCCATTTCCTTCACTGTCAAGTTCCTGAAAATTCTGGAATGTAAAAGAAATCATCACTAACAAGAACCAACAAGTGTGACAAAATGTTTGATCTCTCTGTAAGCTTAATGAATAATGGGAATTGAGAAAGAAACAGAAAATCACGCATGTCTGAATTTCATCTTTTAATGTTCTTTCATTTGATTTTTAATGTTTCCTACTTTCTATTATGGATGTGCTATTCTCAAAAACTTGAATTGGGATTGACATCACAGGTGTTTAGGTGGTGTACTCTGTGTGGAAAGTTTCTTACTGATGGCAAACACAGGGGGTATGAGCATGAGAAGTGTGCCTGCAGCCGTGGGTATGCCCACTGCTGAAGCATGCCAGCGGAAGATGAAGGCACTGAAAAATGGCAGACCTGCAGATTTTCTCCCCAGTTTTGTTCTATACCTAATATGAATTAGATTTTGCTCTGGGTTTTCATTCTTTTGTTGGGTTTGTTGAGTTTTTTACCATTCATCTTGCAAACTGAGACTACCAGTACTATTGTCTGATTTACACAAACATTTAGTGAAAAGATTATATTAATTTTCCCTTGTGCTACTCTGTTGCCCAAATATTGCAACTACTCAACAAGTTTAAAAAGATAAAAACGTGGAAATAATTTTTATAGGGTAGTTTTGTGAGAGTCTCTTTGAATGGTGTAAGCATCGCAGTCAAAGCTTCACTGGGCTGGGCGACGCTGGGTGTCAACGTAGGAGTAGGTGTGTGTTTGTGTACAGCACTTAGTCAAACAGGTCTCAGATGAAGCCCATGACTACTAACAGAAACATTAAATAAAAACCGACAATAGTAAAATATGAAGAAAGTTTTAGAAATAACTCTAATAGCATCCATTACATAATCAACATTACAAAAATTGAATATTATTCAAACTGTTGATTTTTTTTAATCACATAGTAAGTTTTTATCATTAACAAGCTATTTTGCAAGGGTCTCTTTGAATATTTATAGAATCTGAAGATCAACATTGCATAATGTTCTGAAATCTATTAGTGCTGCTTATTTATTTAAAGAAAACATTCTTCTTACCCTTGCTAGGTCATGCCATCTGGTTCTTGCTTTGATAACAAGGTAGTAATGAGCGTGATCACAAGCTAGCTCTGCATCCGTTATCATCTGTTTTTTTCTCAGAAAAGAAAAGAAATAAAATAACAACTAACTACGTTTTACATTAGTGGGATCTTTAATCTCGACAAGTTTCCTTCCCTTTTGTTGTTCTTCATGGCAGTGGTGGTTTTGTTTCCTAGTTTCTAAGATACCCATTAAAGACTGTTACTTCACATCTGTGTAAACTTAATTCTTTAAATACTGCCTTATTTCCCTAGCTGCAGGTTAGCAAAGATGTTTAAAATTTTGTAATTCCCTATTTATTTTCAAATCAATGTTGTTCAATTCTTCCTCAAACTCAAGAGCCAGCATGGATCATTTATACACATAGAAGGAAATGTTAATTATCTCAGAAACAATTATATCTTGGAGTGACTCCGGGAAGATTATCCTTGATTTACATCAATAACATAGATCAAAACTATCTTTGTGAGTCACCAAGACATGGCTAGTAAGTCTGGGGAGTGAGATCCACATTTGCAAATTCAGCCACCATTACAAGTGTTTACCTTTTGGAGGCCTGGTGCTTCTGGTTGAATTAAAACGTGCAGAGGAATATGGGTGCCACAGATTAGGATACAGCATAGCTGTCACTACACAGAAAGCTGCCTAAATCCATGTGCTACACAAGGACACGCCTATCTGAGAATCGAGGAGACCTTACATCTCACGATTCTTTGAAATAGTGCACCTTCCTTCACCTGAGAAGAGCAGCCCTTCTTTTGGTGCACAGTTCTCTTCCAGTTAGAAAACTGAGGAAAGGCTGTTCATTTCTCTTGCCCACCTCTTGCTACAACCTAATACCTGTTTCTCCTCTGGCTGATGCTTTGTGAGGAAATGTTGCAGACATATGGCTTTACAGCCTGGTTCAGCCACACTCCAGGAATATGCTCCCTGGGTCAAGATTCTGAAATGAGAGGCAGAGGAATATTGGGTGTGTAGACCAGGCAAGATGTGGTAACTACATCTGACCTACCCACTGAGTTCCTGTACCACCCATGTCATGCACAGACCAGAACTTAGGTCCTGGAGAACCACAACAGAATCACAGAATGGTAGGGGTTGGAAGGGACCTCTGGCGATCATCTAGTCCAACCCCCCTGCATGTACACCTACAGCAGGTTGTACAGGACGGCATCCAAGTGGGTTTTGAATGTCTCCAGAGTCAAAGGCTCCACAACCTCTCTGGGCAGCCTGTTCCAGTGCTCTGCCACCCTCACAGTAAAGAAGTTCCTTCTCATGTTTAGATGGAATTTCCTATGTTCGAATTTGTGCCCGGTACCTCTTGTCCTGTCACTGGGCACCCCTGGAAAAAGACTGGTCCCACCTTCCTGGCACCCTGCCTTTAAGTATTTATAAGCAATGATAAGATCCCCCCTCAGTCTTCTTTTCTCCAGACTAAAAAGACCCAAGTCCCTCAGCCTTTGCTCGTAAGAAAGATGAACCAATCCCCTAATCATCTTTGTAGCCCTTTGCTGTACCGTCTCCAGCAGTTCCCTGTCCTTCTTGAACCGGGGAGCCCAGAACTGGACACAGTACTGCAGATAAGGCCTCACCAGGGCAGAGTAGAGGGGGAAGATAACCTCCCTGCTTGCCTGCTTGCCACACTCTTCTTGATGCACCCCAGGATGCCATTGGCCTTCTTGGCTGCCACATTGATGCCTCATGGTCATCCTGTTGTCCACCAGGATTCCCAGGTCCCTTTCCACAGAGCTGCTCTCCAGCAGGTCAGCCCCCAACCTGTACTGATGCATGGAGTTATTCCTCCCCCAGGTGCAGCAGCCTATACTTGCCTTTGTTGAATTTCATATTGTTTCTCTCTGCCCAACTCTCCAGCCTGTCCAGGTCATGCTGTATGGTGGCACAGCCTTCCAGCTTGTCAGCCACCCCTCACAGTTTCGTGTCATCAGCAAACTTGCTGATGGTACACTCTATCCCTTCATCCGGGTCATTGATGAATATATTGAACAGGACTGGACCCAGTACTGACCCCTGGGGGACCTCACTTGTTACTGACCAACTAGACACTGCGCCACTAATCACAACCGTCTGAGCTCTACCTGTCAGCTCAATCCACCCCACTGTCCATTCATCTAACCCACACTTCCTAAGCTTGCCTATGAGGATGACGTGGGAGACGATGTCGAAAGCCTTGCTGAAGTCAAGCCTTGCAACACTGCATGCTCAGTCACTTCTGAGCTCCCGGGGCTCTGGGCCTTGAAAGCCTTTGCTGAGGCTTCTGTTTGGATTTAGAAACATGAACGCCACATTAATCTGTTTTAGGTGCCTGGGAACCTTTTGAGTTTTCCCCACTCCCACTGTGTGAGAGAAGATTCCATAAGCCTACAAAATCGACCAACAAAAATAGTCTAAAAAATTAGCTGGGAAAATCAAGTGCTCTTACGGCTTTCAATCACTCTATTTTCTTTGCTGGACTTCTGAAACAGTAATAGTATTTGAAATGAGGAAATTCTGGAGCCCAATTCAAAATGTTTCAATTTCTAGCTAAGTCCAAACTGAAACAGAAATGAAAGCCCGACAGTAATTGGTCTCAGACTCCAACTGTTAGCAAGACTCAATCATCATCAGTTTCCTTTCTTGTTTTAGACTGATGTCCTTGATTCACTCGGTTGTCCAATTCAGGAAAAAAGAAAAACAAACCAAGCAGATAAATATTACTAACATCAGAGCCAACAGTAATGCTGTAAGAGACAAATAAAAACTGGGAAATAAGCCTATGTGTATATATCACATCTTCACTGCCACAGTGGAGATGAGTTGTTGATCAGGAGCTTTTTCAGTCCTGCTGTATCTTGTCATTATTTTTATGAATTTATCTCTGTTTGCACAGTGAAACAGAGTTTCACACTGAGTTTTTAGAATGAATTTTTTAGTGCCTAAATGCTATTTATCATTAAAGTTAAGCTCAAACTTTAAAATTCCAGACGTTTTAAGCAGCATCGCTTCTCGCAGGAAGGGAGGCTGCAGCACTGGTCTCCCTACCCTCCACCCACTCCAGAGCACCTCAGTGCTTCTGTGCACCCCACTTGATCTTGTCTACTCTCAGTGCTCTGGTGGCATAAAGGTCTGGAGCATGGTGTTTCGGACTACTGTAATGTACACTGGCAACTATATTAGTCTCAGAACTGACAGACACTGTGCCAGTTGGGTAATACCCTGGCTGCTCCTCAATCCAAAATGACATCTGATTCCCAAACCACGTTCCTGGTGCTGCATGCTTGGAAGATGCACCAAAGTTGTCCAGTTTGGAGGATAGCTTAGCTCTAAGGCTCCAATTCAGGCACCGGTATATATTTTAGTCCTTACAGATTTAAGCAGTCTCCAGGGGTAGTTCTGGCATTTTAACCTAGCCATGGATTCAATATCTGATTTAATGGAGTCACAAATCACTGAGAACTTGGTAAAGCTACCCAACTTCAGCTTGATAAAGACATACTTTAATACTATCTTTTTTCAATTATACCCAATACAAATTTTCACACAGCATATTCATTTCTGTAAACAGATCAGATTACTGTAGGTACTACACAACTTTTTCTTTCTTACTTGTGAGATGGCACGAGCCAAGGAGATACCTCCTTAGTTTCTTGGGTGTGGAACAGTTGACAGAGTGCTTGGTAATTTAATGTGCAGGTCAGGTTCATTCCCGACAAACCATCTAGGCACAGAAATTCCTCATTTCTAAGACGAAGCAGAAAGTTGTCTGAGAATTGCTGAAAGTCAAGCATGTTGATGATACCGTCATGGTTACTGTCTGTTTCATGGAAGGCAGAATAGGTGTCCTAACAAGGAATATTTAACTAAATATATTTAACATATCAACTACATATTTTTAAACATAAATAACAAATGTTTGCTCTAGGCTTGTTTTGACAACAGGCAAATATTTTAACGCAGTTTGAGAATACAAAGCATTTATAATACTGCCTTACTAAACACTTGGGATAGTCCACAGTAAACCGCAGTTTTATTGCTTTCATCTTAAGCATGTACAGAACTGAGCAAAAGTAGAGAGCATCAAAAAACCATCTCCCTAAAAATTTACAAATTGACCTCCACTTTTCCATCAGTACTATACTGAGAGGTACCTCATTTCTACCCTTGCACACCTGTAGAAAACCTATAATGAAGAGAGACTTTACAGCAATTGATCTACCAGGTGAACGGCTTCTCCCATTCAAACAGATGCAAAATGTTCAAACACCTTTAAAATGGTGCAGTTCTTCAGAAATCTGAAGTAATGATGATCGATATAGGGGTGTCCAAGCTGGTTTGAATGGCGGATCCCTTTCCCAAATGCTGATCTTTCCATTTCTCCCAGGGAACGGGGATGGGATGGGATGGGATGGGATGGGATGGGGTGGGATGGGATGGGATGATGGGATGGGATGGGATGGGAGTGGGATGGGCATGGGATGGGAGGGGATGGGATGAACTGAGCAAAAGGGTAATGACTGTGGCTTCTATTCTTTGTAAAATGTGATCTCTCTTACTCTGTGCATATCCATGGTGGGAATTCAAGGATTACATTCTAATGGTAATTACTGAAAATAATTAGCAAACATAGAAAAGCTGGAAAACAACTCTTGATTAAGATCACTGTGTTGCAAACTTCAGGGACTAAGAACATCTTCTTGAACGATCATTCTCATGAATAGACGGACTGTTCCATGAATGAGTAGTACAGAGTTATTCTTTTCTAATTGCAGAGTCTTTAATAGCTATGCTCACAAAAGGATGGGAAAAAATAACTCAGATCCTATTTTCCTGGCAGAGGCTGCAGAAAAGACAATGAAAAAAAAAAGTTTTTGCCTTGAAAGCTGAATGTATTTGAACTTGAAGTTTCTGAGAACACAGAAGACATGAAATGCAACATAATTTTTGAGTCACTTTCCTGACAGCTCTTCCAAACCAACTTTGAAAACAAATGTTTGTATTGAAATAACAACCAGCTTCACTGCCAAAAGCAAACCATGGATCAATGTATTTACCCCATAGACTTCCATCAGCTTATTATTAAGTTGATTGAGACATTCTTCAGCAGTCATGTAATGATACTTAGCATCATTGACTCTGTGGTTTGGGCTGTTACATAATGTAGCTCCTGGCCCATTCAATCTGGCATCTGCAACAATGAAATCAAAGTATAGCAAACATTGAAAAGATTATATTAAATTTATCTGATAAATAGCACAGTAATATAATATAAAAAACCAAGAAACTCTGAAATCATATTCTTTACAGCCCAAACATGATAAAGTCCAATAGCTGTATGCAGTATTAGTGGTGTCCACCCAATTTACAGTAATGGCCTTAGCTGCTATAGTTTTCCCAGCACAAGGTGAGGAAGATAATCTCAACTGAAGAAAGTACAGCTGAGACAAGGTTTTGTTGGGTTTTTTTTTTAGCCTTCTCTGGTGCCTGATTGCTTTGAGGAAGGGAGGTATCAGAGTGGAGGAGGAGAAAAGAAACACTGTGAAAGCCGTGACTCGCTGTCATACCGCCTGTCTGTCTCCGTGAGGGAACGCAGGAGCTGCAGACAGTGTCAGAGAAAGTAACTAGTTGTATCTTTGACTGTATAGTACAACCACTGCACACTAGACCATTTCCCCTGGAGAAATTCTATCCTGGCTAAACCCTCTTCCAGTCTGAACCGATGTAAGCTATTTCAGATCTGCCATCAAAACACACCTGACTTAACAGAGCATCCCCACTGAAACTATTTCACCTGATTTTCTGCTCTGGCAAGACTTAGTCCAGCACAAGCAGCAGCTTCACATTGTCACAAGTTTTTTATCCCACAGCTCAGAAGGATTAGGAAAGGACAACAGTCAGCTTCCCAGCAGGGCACCCATGCACTTCCAGTCCTGAAGGGCCAACACATTTTTGGCCATAGAAGAGCTATTTTGGTCACCATTCCAGATCTGATGCCTTCTGCACATTCTGCAGTGGTACTCTAGGAACCTATTTTGCCTTGCTTCTGGGGAAAAAGAGACTAAGCATCTTTTGTAACCTCTTGAGCATTTTAGAATTTTTCTGCAACATATGAGCCATATAGAGGAGTAAAGTAATTCACATCAGATTTTAAAATGGGAAAAACTTCCCAAGAAAAATGTACACACAGACATTTCACTACACCCTACTCCTGATTGAAAAGAAAAATGCTAAATTAATGGTCTGCTCTAAGGAACGTTTCTTTTATTTTTAAAAGATTTACACTGACACACAAGAGCCTGTACAACTACTCCGAAGAATCACTAAATAGTATCCACTGCATCATTTTAACTTCTCCTGATTTTACTCTTTAAATCCTACTCCCCTCTACAGCCATGCACTATCCTTCCCTTTTTTCAATTCCAGTTTCTATTGAAGTCTAGTCAACAAAATTAGTACTTGTGTTATCTCCCCACTAAAGCTTATTAGAAGAAAATCAGATCTGTTTCTTTTTCTGTAACTACAGGCCACCCTCCACCCCAGTGATGCACCAATCATTGAAAAATAAGTTAGGAGGGTTTTTTTTTTGGCTTCTGGTTTCTGAAACTTACTTTATGTTAAATGTGGGTTGTACTTCCTTTTACAACTATGAGATATAGTAATGCATGGAAAGAAAATGATTAGGGGATTGGAGCATCTTTCTTATCAGGAAAGGCTGAGGGACTTGGGTCTTTTTAGTCTGGAGAAAAGAAGACTGAGGGGGGATCTTATCATTGCTTATAAATACTTAAAGGCAGGGTGCCAGGAAGATGGGACCAGTCTTTTTCCAGGGGTGCCCAGTGACAGGACAAGAGGTACCGGGCACAAATTCGAACATAGGAAATTCCATCTAAACATGAGGAGGAACTTCTTTACTGTGAGGGTGGCAGAGCACTGGAACAGGCTGCCCAGAGATGTTGTGGAGCCTCTGACTCTGGAGACATTCAAAACCCACTTGGATGCCACCTTGTGCAACCTGCTGTAGGTGTACATGCTCTGGCAGGGGGGTTGGACTAGATGATCTCCAGAGGTCCCTTCCAACCCCCATCATTCTGTGTGAAAAGCTGTGTTTTTCATAACTGCCAAAAGCAAAAACTTTAAATACAGACAAAACACTGTTGATTCTTGTTTTAAATCAAAGAGCTGGCACACTCAGTTTCCTCAAGGTTAACCTGTTTCAAGCATCTTTCATTTGGCTCCTGGATAAAAGCACACATATTTTTCTGGACAGATGATTAGATGGGTATATTCACAAACTTCTAAACTTCTAGGCCTGAATGAAGAAAAAACTGAATATTATGTTAGCTAAATACAAGTTAGCTCTCCTCCTTGTCTTAGTTCTAAAAGAGGAAAAATGACAGCAGAAAATAATAGTAACAGTGTGAAAAAAAGTAAATGCACACCTCTGAGAATAATAACAGAGGCATAATACAGAAGATAAAATAGTCCTTGAAGCCAATGGCAAAACTCCCATTTACTTCAATGGCATCAGAATTTTACTCACAAAATCTAGATGTATAAAAGACATAAGAAATGAATAATTACTTACTAGCTTTACATTGCACTTAGTGTTCCAACCTAAGAAATCAGTTCAGATTCTATCAGCTTTATTTTTAAGAGTTGGAAATTGAATCCCTTACTTACAGTGCCTTGAAATCAGTGAAATTACTGATGGGCTAAGGCTGAGGTGAAAAAATGCGCTCCCAAATTACAAATATATTCCTCCAGTATTCATTCCTCAGCAATGGTAAATCAATGAAGACAACATCCTCATTATATGGGTGGATAATACATCTATATCTAAACAAACAGTAAAACTCACTGTCTCACTGGGATTCTTGATAGTCCAATAAAACTATCAATTATGTTATAGATAACCACGTTTCAGCATTCTCTAGTAGCAATGTCCCTTAGCAGCTTTAACATTCAAAAGCAATACTTTAAATTAAAACCATAAACCAATAAGTAACCAGGTCACACCACAGAGCTCCAGTTGTACATACAGCCACTAAAACTCATCACTTACAGACCTTTCATTCCTGAAAGGAGTAGTTACTGTCTTCTTACTTTTTACACAGAATAGAAAGTGTTGCTGGATATCAGTACTATAAAATAATCCACTGTAATTTAGGATACAACATAATCCTTAGACTGTGAATAAGAGTTAGAAATGCTGAGGACAAGGATCCTCTCAAGGCAGAGAAATCAGTCAGTTTCTTTTTGCAATCTGTCAGTGACAACTCCATCGCAACCCTCCGGACCTTCAGTTAGGTCACGTCCCACATGTTCCAGTTTCCTTCTAGTCTTGAGTTAGATACTAAACAGCTTAATTAGGTCAGGAGTCAAAGAACTACAGACAAGAAGGTCATCCATGTGCTAAAAATTGTATCAATGGTAATTTTCACCAATACAGTTTCCTCAAAGAAGAAAAATTCTGGATCTTCCACGAACAGTTTGCTTCATGCTCTGCTGGTGTTAAAATTCCTTTACCTTCCAATATTGCCACAAAATCCAGAAAACTCAACCCTCCATCTGGTAACCCTAGCTTTTCTGTTAGTAGATTAAATTGACTGTCGTCCATTGGCATACCATGATCTTCCAACACCTGTTAGAAGAGAAATAAAATAAGTTATATAATGGCCTATTTTCTTGCTTAATATGTCATTTTGAATACTAAATATCTGGGTGTTTTATCCTATGGTTCAGCTTGAAATTACTCTGAAAATCGATCTCTCTCCCTTACATTTACAGTAAGCCGTTTAAATATAGTTCTATTCCATACAACTTCAATTCTACACAGAAAGAGATGGAGAGCTAAATTTGACTATATTTTTGAGACTGGCATTTTAAACAAAAGTGCCAAGTGACAGGCTAAGATTACACTTCACCTGGAAACTAAAAAGCGCCAGAAGAGACGACGCTAGCTCATTTAGTAGACTGGAGGAAAACTGTCATTTGTAGAATTTGCCACTTTCACTTTTCCCCACAAGTCAGCCACAACTACCTCCTGGACAAGAAATGCTGCAGAATGGATTCAGGCCCCTGAACCACATATAGCTGCAGCTAGATGGAAGGCAGGATTCCTTCTGCATTGCTGCTCTTCAAAGCAGATTTTAGGTCATCTATTTTGGCAAGAAACTTTCTGATCTTCCTACATCCCTCCCATGTCCCCTCCTCTTTATTTTTTGAGGACTCTCTACCTCTCGGTCTCCATCTAAGAGGTACAGCAGTCTGGAGTGGCAGCAGACTCCCATCGTGCCCAGCAACCTGGCAGTTGACTGTAGAGGGATCCCTGGTTTTCTTCTCCGTTTCCCACCTCCTGTTTCCCTGAAAAGTTGTAGTTGCAGCCCCTGCAGCCCCTTGGAAGGCTGAGGGCTTTCTCCTAAACCTTTCATATCCTTTAGCTGCTCTGTAACTCCTGCTATGGGTGTATTCCTTTATAACTATCCTGAAACAGCTCTGTCCTGACTTTCCAAGTGTTCCTGCAGTGATTACTCTTGCCATTATATTTTAGTTAATTGTACAGATTAAAAGAAAAAAATTCATTAAATAGCTGAACAGCAGAAGGAGTGTTAAAAAAGTGAGAATAATTAGCAAATTATCATTCCTTTCTGTGAATGTAAAGCTTTTGGATAAGCAAGCACATTTTATGTGCAGTTGAACAAGTATTTACCATCAGATCAAATGCTTAATACTAGCGATAAGGAAATCTGGCCGCACAAATCCAATCAAAGCTGGAGAGAATCAGTCACAATGGTAATGTTGGTGACTACAGCCTCAACTATTAGCACTTTCATCTAGAGAAAAAAAAAGTGATAAAACTCTGCCAAAACTGCATGCAAGATTAAGTCATATTAAATTGTAAGACTGGGTCATTGTCCTGTGCTGAATGGCTCACAAAAGGCATAGTTTCTAAGTCTTGTTTAAAGGAAGAGGATTGATGACAACCTTACAGAGAGGAGATACCGTAATCTTTCACAAAAGGGAAGGCACACATACAAATTGTGGATGTTACCCCAGAGCTTCAGCTGCCATCTTCCTGATTTTGAACTATATTAAAAATCAGACAAGTCTGAAGGTGCAAAGGCAGGATCTGTGCCTACTTGCCCAATTCCTAAGAGAACCAGGCCAGTGAAGCCAGAGGTACTACGTTACTCTTCAGTAAAGGAGGTGGAGTTCGGCACCCCACTTCACTAACCTTCCTTACACCTTTGGTACTCCACAGGCAAGCAGAGAAAAGGTGTGCTTATGCTGTAAGCTCTTAAGAAAACCACAGAACTGGCAGTGTTGGTATAACTCTACAGACATTAACTGGTGATTTTATGCCTGCTGTTCTGGGTTATTCAGGCATACCAAGATCCATTACCCTTCAGAGAAATATAAGGGTGCATTCTGCCCAATCCTTTAATGGCACTGTAACATAATGTCATACAAATAAACAGAGCTTATACACTTCCAAGTTGGACAGACAACTTTTGCCCACTTTTATGGCTCGGCCTGGAATAACAAGCCAGAAAACAAGTATGCTTTTATGTTTCCCACTACCACACTACGCTTTTTCTGTTTGAGTAACCTGTTCCACCTCTGAGCACAAGCAACTCTGCCCAGCTGTACACTAGTTGCCTGGCTGCCCTAGAAACTGTGCTAGCAGTTTCAAACTTGACATTAAAGTGGGCAATGGTGTTGGCACACCTGCCCAGCTACAGAGTCAGGATCCAGTCAAAGAACAGTGTGCCACTGCAGATCACTTTAACTTCAGTGGCGCCCCAAAATGTCTCAGAGCCTACCCACCTAAATTCACCTGGGACGTGTCATATTGTCTACACCATTTGTGATAACCTGCTGTATCCCAAACATCTATATGCAGCTGGCAGATGTGATACAGGGAGTCCTACATCCTTCTGAAGCAGCAGCTGGAGGCCAGGGGAGATTGCCCACAATGTCTACAGTGGTGCTAGACACATATTTCTAGATGTTCTTTATCTACCACTGAAACTCCATGAGCTCTGGGATGAAAAGCAGCTGTGCTCTCACACAATTCAGGGCAGGGGTTGATGAACATCAGTGTAGAAGTGTCAGGGAAATTAAAGCAGGAGGAATATGAAAACTCCCAGTTGGCATTCTACCTAGACAATGAGGTGAAAAAACCCTTTCTTTTGCAAAAGGTGCAGAGATCTTTAAAGACCACAAATGATGGAGAATTGGTTTCAGTTTGCATTTCACCTGAAGACACACATGCCCAGGCAATTCCCAGAGACATAAGCTAGTCTGTTGCTTCAGTTCTGACAAGGAATCCCTTTTAATCACCCTTATTCACACAGAGCTCTCACCCTCATTCATTCCAGGGTAGGTTTATTTCACTAAGCACAAGGCAGGGCAGAACAGGACTATTGCAAGGAAACATGCCCCTTTTGAATGATTATAGTCATCATCAGCAGGGCAGAGTTCCTGGGCAGTGTTCCACCCAGCTGGACTCTGCTGAGCTTGCAGGGTCCAAGAACATCGCAGTGCAGTGATGCATACACCTGGCTGCAGGTACATGACAAATTTTTATCCCTTGTGCATTGCCAAAACTTGAGAAATGCATCATCTATAGTGTAATAAAAGAACAATGACATCACAAAGACTAACTGTTCAGTAGCTTCTGGTGATATACAAATATCTTAGATGTGAGTTGTACACAGACAGACATCGCAGAAGAGAAAGCAGCAGGTAGAATGAGCATGTTCTGCCTTACAGTAACAAAGTTACTGCATTAGCTGCAGGCAACATATAAGCCTCTTAGGTATCACATTGTAGTGTAAGTCACAGCAAACAAGTCCAGTGTCCCAAAAGTACGTGCCACAGATGCCAGATCTATGTGGGGGGAAGGGTTGCAGCTTAACACATTCTTAATAAGTGCATTATTAACTACAAAATATTAAGAAAAAATGGAAATTTTTTAATGTGTTTTTTCCTCCCTCTTTCCTTCCCCTTCATTTCAAAGCAGTTTCAATTCCTGCACGCAATTGCAGAAAGATATCCGCCTGAGGGTAAGAAGATGTGCGGCTGAATACAGCGGCAGTGTTCACAGGAGAAGGCTCTATAGTAACAGCCTTCGTCCTGTCATATGATATGGAGCACATACCTTGTGTCTGTCGAGAACGGGAGAAAGGAAGGCAACAGCTCCATCAGACCCTTGAAGTCAGTACCTTTGCCCTGCAACAGTAGCTGGTGAAAACATGTACAGTCCATGGTACATGGATGGGAAGATGATGTTTATTACTGAATCAGAATAAAAACAGATTGGGACAAACTTTCTCAAGGGACTATGCAGGCCATTTTCAAAGACACAGTTCTGGTTTGACCCTTGCTGACTCTTACCTTACGTCAGCACCCGGATAAAGGGCAGAGTATGCATTACTGTTGTAACACTATTCAGCAACAGCTCTTGTTTAAATCTAGGTAGACTAGGGAAGTATTACTGCCATCATATCTCTTTTCCTGCCCGGTCTCAACTTTCAGCAAAGCACTTTTCTTTGAAATGTGAAAAGAAAGAAATGTACAGTTGGGTGCCATCAGCATCGCAGCTACAATCCCAAATCCATGACCTCACAAGTCTGTCCAAAGCACAACATGGAGTCAGATAAGCGATCAAGGATGTGATGGGTCCTGGGAACACCACAGAAAACCCTACCTCAAAAAAGACACCTACAAAATTCAATTGAAAGTCTTGGCAAGTGTGTCATGGTTTGGGGTGGATTGGCCACTCAGGCAGAACGACAGATGCTCTCCCCTACCTCTCCCCAAAGAGAGGCAGGAGAGAAAGAGACTTAAGAGTTTAGAAGGAGCTAAACTACTTTAATGAAACGTTAATAATAAAATAAAAAGGAAATAATGAAATATATACAAGACTGTATCAAGCTCCTAAGATGACAATCATGACACCAGCTGGCACTGGGGCAGTCCCAGGCTGGACTCAGTGACGGACAGGAACTGGATTCCAGATCTGGATTCAGGATTGGGATCAAAGGCAGACGATCAGACAGAGTCCTCCTTGGATGCCGACCACTGAAGAAAGAGAGGGCTGACCCTTTAATCCCTCATCTTTTATACTGAGCATGAGGCAGATGGGGAGGAATACCCTGTTGGTCAGTTTTGGATCACCTGTCCTGTACCCTCCTCCGCAGAGGTGCAACCCCTCTGTGTTTTTCCACTTCTGACCCTCCAATGGGGCAAACAGCAAGCTTAGCTGCCCTTGGGTGTTACAGCAATAAGTATAAGCAAGAGCTTCTCTCCATACCATGCCTGGGCATCAACTATAAAATAGGTCCTATCACTCTGAGAGCAAACATTGTCTGCACAATATGCTGTTAATTTCAGTAGTTAGAAGAGGCTTAGCTAAAAAGTGAAGTTACTGAACAGAAAATTGGTCCTCAAACGAGGACAAAGTGAAAACTATACCATTCCAATACATTCGTGTTATTGTGGATCCTCTCAGCACTGAGAAGCTGTACCCAGATCAGCTAACCCAGTGTCAAAAGCCACCCAATATCAAATAATTGTACTGGAAAAATGCAACATGATTAAATCAGCTGAATTTATATTTAAAGCCACAGAAAGGTCCTCCTCTCCTGTTGGGGACCAGTCTATGCCCTGAAATGCTACTAGACATCCAGAGGAGGTTTCCCTGACACAATGACTGCAGGCTTCTTTGAAAGTAGAGCAAGAGTGAGCAAGGAAGAGAGTCGGGGACCCCAGGGGGTGCCCCCTAGTCCCAGTGTGATTACAAGCCACACTGCACTCCAAGAGTGGTTCAGAGGAGTCTGAGGCTCAGAAATCTGAAAGATGATATAAAATTAGCTTTGGTCATTCTGCCTAAAGTTTCATACTGTACCTGCTAAGAATCTTATTCTTCACCTAACTATATCTAGCTCCACTGGGGAGTTGCAAAGAGGGCTTAACGTTAAGGTTTAGGTGATTCTTTAAGGTATACCCACCCACTTTGCATTAAGAGGTGTGTTGTTGGCTGATACTAGACCTCCAAGTCCCAACTGTGTCTTGCCAGTCCCAATTCATACATGTTCTTTTTGACAACTGAGAAGAGTTGAAGCTTTCAAGGTGTAGTGCTGCTACAGGATGACAATTATATGTCTTTAGTGAGAAACTGAGATCCTTTCTCATACAATAACCCGCATGAGACCTGTTTAGCTCATCGGTGACTGAAACAGTCCTGGATGATTTAACTCCAGCTGTGTGAGCAGGCACATTACTAAGACAATAAGTATCTTTCTGGGAAAAGTACAGGAGAGAGAAAAATAGCTAACATTTTTCCTACCTTCTGCAAGCCAGCTTTATTAATTTTCCCATGTGATTGCTTGTTGTAGGCAAAAAAGCTGTCTTTAGCAGTTGCTGCCTGTTGTATCACTCTGTCCTTCAGCCTTTTAATTACTTCATCAACAGTTCTATTCTGGGCGTATTTGTTAGCTTGATCTTCAATCTGCTTGATTCTAAAATTGAAAGATTGTGCATGAAGACAAATTGCTTATTTTTTGTAGTTTCAAACATTTGATTCAGCAATAATGAACAAGACTGCTTTAATGACAAACAAGACATAGACATGGAAGAAGCTTCTTTGATGCAAAACAAAATTATAAGTTGATCAAGTTAGAACACACATTGGTTTGAAGGCCTATATTGTGCAAACACTTCTTATGTATATCTTGCTGAAAAGAAGGAAAGGGAGAGGGAGAGGGAGAGGGAGAGGAAAGAAAAGAAAAGAAAAGAAAAGAAAAGAAAAGAAAAGAAAAGAAAAGAAAAGAAAAGAAAAGAAAAGAAAAGAAAAGAAAAGAAAAGAAAAGAAAAGAAAAGAAAAGAAAAGAAAAGAAAAGAAAAGAAAAGAAAAGAAAAGAAAAGAAAAGAAAAGAAAAGAAAAGAAAAGAAAAGAAAAGAAAAGAAAAGAAAAGAAAAGAAAAGAAAAGAAAAGAAAAGAAAAGAAAAGAAAAGAAAAGAAAAGAAAAGAAAAGAAAAGAAAAGAAAAGAAAAGAAAAGAAAAGAAAAGAAAAGAAAAGAAAAGAAAAGAAAAGAAAAGAAAAGAAAAGAAAAGAAAAGAAAAGAAAAGAAAAGAAAAGAAAAGAAAAGAAAAGAAAAGAAAAGAAAAGAAAAGAAAAGAAAAGAAAAGAAAAGAAAAGAAAAGAAAAGAAAAGAAAAGAAAAGAAAAGAAAACCAAAACAAAAATTGGCTGATACTTCTCTGAAGTATTTCTTTGGCAAATGGATATTCTGGACCTCCAAATCACAGGCTTAGTTTCCAATGAGCTCAAGTTTCTACATCAGCTAAGGAGCCACCTTTATCCTTTAATACCTTCTCAGTTAACATGAGATGGCTAAGCTAACATGAAAGAAGCTAATGAAAGTCTTTCTATTGATTTTAAAAGGAAAAAAAGATCTCTTATAATGTTTTCTCTCTTCCTGGATAAGTAAATCACTTCCATGCTATTTCCCTTTGCAAAAATGGCCAGAATACCCTTATTTCTCAGGCCCTATAAGAAAGTCCATAGATATGGACTATATACTCTTCTTGCTGAAATACCACAGCTTTCATCAATAAGCCATTAAAATAAATAACAATTAAATATTTAATAACTTTTAAAGGCAGAAAAAAAAATTAAATTTAAGAGTATTTAATGGGTCCCACTTGTACCTATTTTACATCCATTATGGATTTATGATAACCCATGAAAAGGAAAGTTAGAACAATTATTTTTGTTAAATTTTAGAGGATGTATTTCCATATAAGCAAAATGCAGAAATATTCAGCAGTCTTATTTTATAGATTTATTAAGTGTGTTTTATAGTATTCTCTAAACTTGGAGATAATCTTAACATTCTAACTCTTATTCTAAAAATATGCAAAGTTTTACTTTGATCTGAGCAGCACACAGAAGATTAACTCTAAGCTGCCAAAAAGGATCAAAAGATGACAGTGAGTGGTGACTCCCTCCTGAGGATCTCAGATGGACTCATCTGCTGAGGGCACCCGGTCTTCTGAGATATCTGCTATCTTGCCTGAACGCAAGAGGTTGCCAAAACATTACCAAATTTACCCTCCCCATCCCACTGATTATTATATTCTCCTGCCTATCAACATAGGCTTTACCATGAATGACCCTGAGAAAATTAAAAAGTAATTACAGGACAGGTCATGAATGCAAACTCAAATGTCCTTTATACCCTTCCTCTTTATTGAAGTTCAAGACAGAGACAAAGGCCAGATGTGTCCTGGAAATAAATTAATTATTATTTGCAGGAAAAGACCATCTTACCTGTCAGGGGCTTATTCACAAAAAGCTCTCTTTATCTACTAGCTTTATAACCCTCAAGACTAGGGAAGCCTCAGACTAGGATGAAGAAAGGTGCTGACATACAAGCTCACAGGAAGCTATTAACCACAGCTGCCTGGCTGAGGACCTAAAACTACTTGGAATAGGGTTATCCATTACAGGGCCACAGAATAGACAAAAACAGACAGAATGAATCAAGCATGCTGTTTGTCAGTACCTGAATATAAGAAACGTGGTATAAAGAGGAGGACCTGGAAGTCCTTATGGTCCTTGGAAGATGGTGGAATCTTACAGTTCAGTAAACTAAACCTTATTTAGAGTTCTACAGGTAAAAACCTATGAGAATATGAATGCTACAATTGTAGGATGCCTGCTACACATCACCAATAGGGAAAACGGGATTTGGGTTTGAAGATCTTGGAGATTGTGAGATATTTTTTCTGAGAAAAAAAAAAAAAAGAGGCAAAATCACCCAGGGTAAAAGAGCTGGTTGTACTTTGTTGGGTAATGATTACAGCAGAACACAGGCTGTCCAGCAGATTATCAGTATGTGTCAGTGACATCCTGTTGATGTTGCAAAATCCAGTGAAGGGAAAGTCTTTCTAAATTTTATCCTAATTAGCACAGAGAAAATGCTTGAAAAGGTGAAATACAGCTTAGGCAGGAATGATGATGGAATGACAGAGTTTATGACACTTGCAAAAGGAAGGCAGGAGAATAGTGAAAAAAAGTGGATTTCTACCTTCTCCAGGAACTAAAGTCTCATGGGAAATGGGTCTAAAGGGAAAATAACTTAAGGAGAGCTGGCAGTGCATCAGTGCAAAAGGCCATCACAGTATAAGAGAAGCATGAGTATATACAACCAAAATCTGAAAGGCCAAAACACAATGTGAGATTCAACATCAAAAATATCAAGAATAATGAGAACTTACTCTATGAATGCTTCAGTAATATAAGAAGGATCGAGAAAATATTTGGCTTTCTATTCAACCGAGAAAGAAAACTACCAACAGATTGCATTAAGGGGATGAAGCACTTAAAGCCTCTTTTTGAATCAGTCTTCGATGAAGAGTCAAATATAAGTGGGCTGCTTGAACAATGAATACTAATAACATAAGGAAAGAACAAATTACAGAATATTGCTATGTATTCATATTGGTTCTTAAAGAACTGGCTAAAATTGTCTCCCAAATTTATGCAGAAAAGCAAACACACTACCTAGCTTTAAAAAGAGGGAAGGAGAAGAACTGGAGAGTTACTGACATATTTCTAAGAAATCTATTCCTGCTTTCAGGCAGTAATTACAGAGTCACAAAGAGTTCAAAGCCTGTTAAGAGACACAAGAGCCACTAGGGATCCTTGAGATCTACCCTGATTTCAGGCAAGCTTATATTTTAAATTATACTCCCCTCCAACCAGCACCACTTTTACCTTGATTTCCTAGGGAAATAAGAATAATGCAATCAGCCTTTTCATCCACATCTGTCAGCCTTTCCCCTAAATTTGGAGTCCATCTGCCAATTTCAGTCAAACTTGAGACAGGTAGGGGTCTTCAGCTGCAGCGGTTACAAGTTTCGTGAAACTGGCAGTCATGAAAAGGAGAGATACTCTTCATTCCCCTAGTTGGGAATGCAGGGACATTATCTTTTCCATTTGTTAGCAGCTAGCCAAGGAATCAACATATGTTCTTCTCTGGGCTAGCCACCTACTGTCTCTTGCCCAGCTGCTAGCTTGAAGTACTCAGTGAGAAGTACGTTCTTTTTCTATCTTCAAGTAATAAGCCACAAGTACATTTACCAACTGTGTGAGACACCAAACCCTACTCCCAGCACATTCCCATCTCACTGGGGTTGGGTCTCAAACTTCTTCATTCAGGCCTGACAAACCTAACCTAACCATCTACTCTAACACACCAGTTCTGGGTGCCAGAGTGCTTGCAGAAGATACGGATAGAGCTCCATGGTGGCTCAGCAGAAGTTAGGGATAGAGATATTTATTAGTGAGGCCACTGATTTATCTCGACTTTAGTGTACTGTTCCTACTGACACAACTGTATTCCATGTTGGTGAGTCTTTTGCATTTTTTTTATCTTGCCAGCTCTTGGCTTTGACAGTCTATTGGTAGAAATGGCATTGGACCTCAGTAAAAACAACCTTGGGGAATCTCTGAAAGATCTGTTCTTATCAATACAAAAAGAAAGCTCTTTTGACCTCAAGAACAGGAGGAACAAACTCAGCTTGCAGAAAACAAACAGGTTGATTTCTTGATTGAAGTACAGCTCATATTCTGCTTTGGGGACAATCTTGAAATGCATCTGCAGGAACACCTGCTCCCAAAAAATGTTACATAGAAGGAGCCAACCATAAGGTTTTATATATTTCCTGGTGTCTCGCAAAAGCAAATTAGGAAAGAATTTCAGAGACAGAGGCAGTCTGCTAAAAGTCCTGAGGATTAAGATGAAGGCCATCGTGGAACAGGATCTTTCACAGGTAGGGACAGCTTAACCACCCCAACCTTTTAAAGACCTCAGAGGTGGAAAGATGTGGAAATATCAAGATTCAACCCATTGCAGACCATTGGTCCAAAATCACCACTTCAATAAGACAGAGGCCAGACTTGCTATCCTAGAGACTTCGGGTAATATTTCTTTCCTCTTACTGGTCACGAATTCTCACTAAAGAGAGGAGCAGACATAATTTTGGAAATGAGACCCACACAGCACCCATCACATAACAAGGAAAGAGATAACATTAGGATCTGTAAGTGTACTGAAGTTTCATTTTAGCAATTTCAGGAGGAGGGACAGGAGCCTTGAACTCCAGGGTAGGAGGCTTAGAAGGTATTGGTAGCAGAATTGACTTTGCCACCACAGAATGTCACTGGGGCAAGAGGAACTGAAGGGAAGATGTAAACCACTGCTTATACTTACAGATGGAGCAATTCACCTGACATAGCTCTGAGACACTGACAAATTCAGGAAGCAAACATCCAAAGGTTCTGTTTTAAACTCGTCAGAATGCCTAAACCAACAGTTCTGGTCAATGCCATAAATAAAAGGTCAGACTTGGTATGTTTGCAGCCTGGTCCCAGCTTTCTGTACAAGGGATTGACTCACTCCTGTGCTGGCCTGAGCATAGTAAAAAGATTCAAGCCACGTGCCTGAGAACT